AAACCTCTTTAACTTAATACCCATATTCCCATAATTCATTGATTTTAAATTAATTAAATTTTAAAATAGGTGGCAACCCACCAAATTTTTGCGATATCATTGGTTCTGGTATTATACCGAATAATAAAAAAAATNTTCATTGATTTTAAATTAATTAAATTTTAAAATAGGTGGCAACCCACCAAATTTTTGCGATATCATTGGTTCTGGTATTATACCGAATAATAAAAAAAATATTATTCAAATCGGTTCAGCCGTTCTCGGGTTTTGATGACCGTGACATACGAACACAACATTTTTATATATATATAGATATACATAGAAGATGTCCAATGTGTGCTTTCGATTTTAATCTTTGACCACAACAAAAATTCCACATTGTATAGTCGTGAATGAACTTTCAGTTTCATGATTACTTTTACAATTCCTTTGAGTAATTGGAAAAACTAAAGTACTCTTGCAATTCCAGGTAATGGAATTGAAAAAAAAAATCAATTACATTTTCAATTCCTTTCAAAGGAATTGGAAAAAAAATTACATTACGAGCACGTAATTTATTCCAATTACAATATGAAATTCCTTGTAATGGAATTAAAGAAAAACCCAATTACATTTGAAATTACTTCAAGGAATTGAAAAAGTGATCGATTCCTTTGCTGTGGACTGAAGGAATTGATTCCTAATTACAATTCCTTGTAATCTGTAATTGGGAGTAATTTAATTCCTAAAGGAATCATTACGACCCAGCTCTGCCTACAGGGTATCGGTAGTTAAGTCGGTATTGAATACTTAAAGCACTTTCAGGTGGTAATCGAATTTTTAAAGAACGTTCTCCGAATCGTGGAAAACGCCACCGTTCGAACATAGGTCTTTTGCTCTTTAGCGGAGTCTAATATCATTAAATTAGAAATCTAAAGTTAATGGAGCATATTCATAGTGGAAACAAAGACGACTCTACAGCAATTTGCAGGCAGATATTCCATCAAAAATAATGTCAAAAAGCAGTAACTTACTTACTAGTGTCGACTTTATTTTATCTATGAATATGCCCCAATAACTGTAGCGACTTATTTTTAATCCTTGGCTACAAACTTCTGTTATGAAACTGTCCGCCTTCTCTTGCTATTTAAAGTAGAAGAACAGATCACTCAAAATGGAGTCGTTGCTCAAATAATTTAAAAGCCACACCTTTGACGTTTAAGCGGTGAAAATTACAAATCGATTTAAGATTATTTGGCAAAGATCTGGTGAAAAAACTTGATGTATTGCTAGTTGTTTTCCTTACATCTTCTTCTGTCAAAATAACTTAAAAATAAAAAAAAGAATGCGTAATGTAAGTTTGCTCGAAAATCCTATGCCTTTGAGGAGGCAGAGCGCCGTGATTTACTGAATTATATGTCCTTAAATTTCAGAGTTCTCGGAAGATCCTTTGAAGAATTAGAATACCCTCTACTCAGCTCCGGCGAAAACGTATGCATTCCTAGCACACTTTACCGCATTATTTTTCTTGTATTTTTAAGTAATTTATTCAATTGAAGTTGGAAAAGCATCAACTGAAAATTCTGCAAACTTCGTAATTATTAGCAAACCAGAAGCAAACTGAAAAAAACTACCAAACTTTCCTGATTCTAAGATAAGTTTATTTAGTGTTTAGTCTTGTCTAGAATTTTCCTGTAGTTCTGGCAACCTTCTTTCAACTCGCCAGAGTCTTTTGTCTTTCGAAAGACTGTTGTCAAATCTGTCAATTACCTTGAAAGCTCTTTAGTGTCTTTCGCAAGACTAATGGAAAGATCTGCTAAAGAGGAGAAAATTCAAGTTTCTTAAAAGTGAAATTGAATTATATAAATATATACATATGTACATATATTTTACTTAAAACAAAATTAAAAAAAAAGATAAAACTAAATAAAATTAAAATAAAGTAATAATAAAAAAATTCTTTAAAAATTAAATGAAATTAAAAAATATATATTTTGGTTTTTAAAACGACGAATAATAAATCAAAAAAGAAGAAATAGTGCTTAAAATAAAACAATATTAAACAGAAAAAAGTTTTTATTTTTAAAACAAAGTCTAAAAATTTAAAAAGACAAAAAAAAACAGAAAAAAGATTCTAAAAATTTAATGAAATAATTTTTTCCTAACAATAAATTCTACAACAAAAAATAAAATTAAATTGAAAAACTTAAAAATATTTAAAAAATACGTTTCGAAAAATTTAATAAAGTTAAAAAAATTGTATTTTTCTTTTTAAGACAATGAAATCTTTAAAAAATTATATATAATAGGTTTCTGAAAATTAAATAAAAAACTTTAGCGTGTGCCAGTTTTATTTAAACACTTATGTCGAGAAAAAAATGGGGGGTGTAAAAAATATTTTTACGCACCCGCTAAAAACCGCTAAATCGCGTTTTTTGCTATGTACTTATGTCGAGAAAAACTATGGGTGTACATTTTTTTATGCTCCCGCTAATCCCCGCTAAATTGTGTTTTTTGCTATAACTTTCTTATTTTATATCCGATTTTTTTAAACTTTATGTCGCTGAAAAGGTCTCGCTCAGCACTATAATTGGCCATTAAACAGTTTTGGCCTTAAACCCCGTTTTAACTTATGCCTTCACTAATTTCGGAATTACTCCTACATTTTTATTTTTATACTATAAATCTAAAACTCTCAAAAAGACGATGATGACCTTGCTTAAAAGGGTTAGGGTTAGGGTTTATTCAATTATAGTCCTGAGCGAAGCCTTTGTGGTGACATAAAAATTTAAAAAATCGGTTAACAAATAAGAGAGTTATAGCAAAAAACACGATTTAGCGGTTTTTAGCGGGTGAATAATAAAAAATGTTTACACCCAAAATTTTTCTCGACATAAGTACTCAAATAAGACTGACACAGGCTAAACTTTTTTTCGTGATACGCCCTAATGTACATATGTATACTCATACTACAAACATATGTACATACATACATACAATTCCTGTTGACCCTGAGAAAGAATCTTTCCAATTAGGTTCCCATATAAACAAATTATTATAAAAACACTTTCTTATATAATCTTCGGTTAACTTATTAGTAACTATTAAATGCAAGTATGATAATCTGTGTTCTAAAACAGGTGTGACAATAAAAGAAACATGTTTAGATTTTGCAATACATATAATTTTATTTGAGAAAAGTCGTGAATATACATACATTTGTACATGCATACATACATACATACATACATATGTACATATATGAATATATTAATTTACCAAGGCAAATTTCCAGTTCGTTTTATGTTGGCGGTTATGACCACCAATGCTAGCAATATATTAATTATGTATGCACATATCTACATAAGTAGATACATATATAAAAGTATAATAATTGCACACATGTACATAGATATTGACGGCATTTACAACTGCAAATTGAAAATGCATGTCATATATGTATGACTGGAGGCAAACCGAGCAAATTGCAGTGCTTCAATGCATATTGCGACATTGCCTTCGACTAGTACAATGCTGTTGGCATGGCATGCAGCTCATCCCGTACCGTACCGATCGTAATACATAATGTCGCATCGATTGCGAGCATCCACCAAATTGTTTGAATGTACATACATGTTGTGTGAGAGAATGTAGGCGAATGTAGGTATGAAAAGGCGCATTTTCATGGGAGTAACATTTAGCCAAAGGCATAACCTATAGCGTCATTCAACATAATTCTTTACTCATAATGTTCTTAACAAACATATTGGTACATGGTTGCGTAAATACCTACATACATACTTAGTTAGCATTCTTATTACAACACTTCGTCAATCACCAAATCATACGCGCGAATTAAGGTCCTTCATACTCGTACATAAACACACATGCATACATACATACATGCATACATACATGTGCATTTATTCACTAGATCTCTTATTATCTTTCGTATGCGGTCATTTGTAGCCCAACCTATCACTTAATCAATGAAGCATCAGCACCTGTGCAACCATTATCATCCACACCACAACAAAAAGAAACGCTATTGACCACCATGAGTCAACAAACCCAACTGCAACAACAAGCACATCCACATACGCTTCCAAATCAGCATTCGCAATCACAACAATCGCATCGCTATTCGATGCGACCTCGCCAAAAATATCCTCATTTCCAGTCGCCTAGACCGGAGAATTTTTTCGTCGGTACTGAACCGACGCAGGAATTGGTGCAACAGCCACCGCTACAGCAACAGCAGCAGCAGGAACAACTGCAGCCGGACGGCTCCTACGCATATTTCAATGATGAAACATTGACGCCACAGGAAAAATACGTGCGATATTTACAGCAGCGCATACGTTACAATAAGCAACAACAGAAGCAACGCGACCGCATTAAGGGGCGTGAAAATTTTATTAAACAACAACAGTCGAACCAACAACATCAACAATCGGAAGAGCAACATTTACAGCAGCCGCCAACGCAAATTTTTGTATTAAGTGAAAATGAAGCTCCAGCATCCGCATCCGCACCCACACCGCCACCACCGCCACCACCGTCACCATTTGCTCACCACTCCAATCAGAAACAATTAGATGCGAACGCACAAGTTAACTATCCACAACACAGTCCTATAAGGCATGCAGTGTATCCACATCCAGAATTGCATGTGCCGTCGAATCATCAACCGCCAACGAATGTGGCTACGCTAAAGCAAGTTGTGAAAATACCGGTGCGTACGTTGGTGAGCGAAGCTTTGGACGCATTCCAGCAGCATCAGCAGGAGCAACAACATTTGGTGGCAAAGGGTGGTGCAAATGGCGGTGTCTACAGGCAACAACCGCAATATGCAAACAGTTTGGGGTGAGTAAATATTTCATGTATGTAAATGTTCAATTTATGCATTACTTGGCATGAAAGTAGTACGTATTCATAGAATTTTCGTTTCATTTGGGCAGCGCAAAAATTTCATATATTGGAAAATTTTCGCAAATCAATGACATTTATTGTAGTCTCATCTGGCATGGTCTGGTATGGTGGTAACATTTGTTTATGCAGTAGTGAAAATTTAGACATCATTTTGGATCATCTCAAATATCGCTCATTATGCTTTGCTGATTATCAAAAACTAATTGGCTAAAAATTTACAAACTTTGAGCCCGGCTTGGGACAGTGCAGTCCGGATCGGTGCTGTTTTTGGTCACCGTTCTGTTGAGCCAGCTGCCGTTCTTCAGATGGGCCCCTCCGTCTGTTGGGCAGGAGGTAGATAACGCAGGGTATTGTCGTTAGGTCAAAGGTTTTGCATAGGAGACACATAAAGAAAGCATTTTTGTATGTAGCCCTGCGTTCAATCAAATAAATAGTTGACACTGGCATTTTTTGCTCTCTTAAGTCTTGGCCAAGCTTCCCTTCCAGTTTGAGATGTGCGTCCTGATATTTTACACAAATGGAGGAACCATTGGCCATGAACAGAAATTTTTTGCTTTTCTGAGAATCTCTTTTTCATGGCAGATGTACACTTTTATCTTTCCTTAGCTTGCCGAGCGACACCCGCTCTGAGAAAAGATTTTCTCTATAATTTTGGGTATTGTGCGGACCAGTATTCAAACGTAGCATCTACTATGTGTTAGTGTGCAGCTCTAACCGGTTGACTATGGCGGTTGCCAAAGAAAACATATTTTTTTAAACTTGAGTGGTCCCCAAGCAGAAGCTTACTTTTTCTTTACTTTTATATTCTTATAACCACCCGCACAGGCCGCCAACAACTCAATACATCGACTATATCGTCGACGATCCCAAGCAATCACTAGAGGACGAGCAACAACACAGCCCAGCAGCAGCAGTTGCGCCACAAAAACCAACAGCACAACAAAATGCTTTCATTGTCATTTCAACATCATCACCACCACAGATTACACCCGGCGGCATTGGCCAAGAATTTTATGACTCCACTAGCAGGCCTGTCTACAAGCAACAGCCGACACTACGATTGCAACCATTGCCGCAGGCAGGCAAATCGAACAGCTACGCTACAAGACGTCCAATCGTGGCCGCAGAACCGCCACCACCACAACCACCGCTACACATTCCCCAATCGAGTGTGACGCCTGCAGCAGTCAAACCAAAATACATCTATGCTGAGAGCAATTTTGGTGATGTTATTAAATCAACAACACCAGCAATAAAGTTGAGGCCTTCACAAAAGTATTCGGGTGGTATTGGAAGTAGATTGACACCACCAGCGCCACCGCCGCGACAATTGGCGCCTTCACCGCCACATCAAGGGAAGCAACAAGTAAATTTACCCGAGTATTATAATCCACCTGTGCCAGTTGCAGCGCAAACAACACCCGTTGCCGATCCCAATCAATTGCCAGACATACGCTCATCTTCACTGGCGGATATATTGCATAAGCTGCAGGCAAGCAATCACTTGCCAAGAACACTGACGCCAGAAAACATTGATAATTCGATTAAGACTCTGGTCATGATACTAGAAAATCTAAAGCAAACGCAAACAATTGTGCCAAATCCAGCACAACACCATGAAAGACCTGCTGCCTCGCAGGACTATGACTATAGCACGGATAGCGAAGAGGTGAATGGTGGCGCGCCTGACCTTTCCAGCGTGCTGTCACCGGTTTTACCAAGTGAGTGGTGAAATGGGTGTTTGAAGTAATTGTTATGTGTATTTTAATGAATACATTTTAATTGGTATACTTTGATGTTTTCTTGTTGTTTTTGTTGCAGACAAGCATCCCGGACCGAGCACAGGACGTGCTGGCATCGATTATCCCAACTTAGCTGACATACCCCAAACCAATTTCAATTGCGCAGAACAGCGGTATAAAGGTTTCTTCGGTGACCCTGAAACGAATTGCCAAGTGTGGCACTACTGCGATTTAAATGGCGGCAAAGCATCATTCCTCTGTCCTAATGGCACCATTTTCAGTCAGGTAGGTGCAATTCTCAATACACATGACATGTGTATGTATGTACGAGTATATTATCATAAAAATTGAATCTAAAATTTCAGAATATTTGCTTGAATTAAAACCCGGATGAATTCGATAAATTAATATTTCCATTTGCAGATCGCCCTTACATGTGACTGGTGGTTCAATGTGAAATGCTCCACAACCGCACAACTGTACGTACTGAACGAACGACTGTACAAATACATTTTGCCATTCACTCCGAAATTCCCAGAAGACTATAGTGGGCCACTTGTTGATAAGTATGTACAACTAGGAGTACACTATCAATCTGCCCACTAGCTAATTTAGCTTACCTTCCCCCTTGCAGGTATTTAGCAATGAAATTCCAGGAAATGGAGGAAAAAATGCGAATTGAAAAGGAGAAAGTGGAAAAGTCAGCAATCGCTGCAGCAATTGCAGCCACATCAGCGACACAAACGAACAATCATATCGAAAGCGAAGAAGTCAATGGTGTGCGCGACGCGGAGAATGTGAATAATGCTGCCGACGACGACGTCGAAGACACAGAAGTGACCACAGTGGCGGACTTAAGCAATTTACCGAGAACATTGAGTGCGCCTAATAGGCACGGTGTTATCAATGCGCACGTTAGTGAGCAAAGCTCTGAGCGTAATTTGCTAATCGACGATGAGGTCGATGATATATCGCAACGTGGCAGCATTGATACGTTCGAAAGCTCCACCATACCCACAGCATCGGCTCCTACAGTAGCCAAGGATGATGGCATGCTTGCGCTTAGCCAACAACCCATTGTGGTCTCATCCACACAAGGACCCGACTATGACGATGTGAGTGCAGATGAGCGGCGTATACCAGCGCATAATGTACGAAATGTTGAAGAAGCAACTAGTAGAACGTTGACGACAGAGACTGTACAGCGGCCACCAGAGGAGACGACGACAACGCAATCACAAACGAAGCTGCGGCAAAATGAAAATCAAGAACAAATACAAGCATCGCCCAAGCCAGTGCGTCAAACGACAAATATCGATGTGGAAAAAGTGGAAGTAATCGAAATTAAAGCGGAAGGGGCAGCTGGGCAGATGGGACCGAAAATGTACTATGGCGCTGAGAGTGCAAAGGATGTGCGATAGATGTTAAGTAGGAGTTGATGGTTGAGGTGAAGGTGAAGGTTAGGAAAACTGGGGGCAAATGTGTTTTTGTAAATGTAATTTATTTGCACCGAAGTGCAGTTATCAAGCTGATTGCTACATAAATACGTATGTATGTATAATTGTATTTAGTTTTATATGTTTAGTGAATTTAAAGTAAAGTACGAAGGAAAGCCATTGGGAATGCAATTTTAGAGATAATCAGAATGACATTTTTGATTGCTATTTCAATATTTTTTCATATTAAATTTTTAATATTTGTACAATAACAAGTAAAAAGGATTTCTAGAACTAAGTTTTTTTTAGAAAATTGGTTACGAACCTGTTAAATAATGATTAATAATCATGATTGTTAATCAAAGCATGTTGTGTTTGGGTAACCGTTTATTGATTAAATACCGTTATTTGCACCTTTTTAATTACTTTCATAAAAGAAAATTAAACAATTAATTTTAATTACATGATTAATATGATTATTTGTGTCCTCTACAAAATTCTTTCTGAAAGTATTAATAAATGGCAAAGACAGTTGACAATGTTTGTAAAAAATCATTCCTTACTTGTAAACTACAGTACAAGTATTTAATCGTACAGTGAATTTGGTTTCAGTTATTTAATACTAACTTGTTAAAATTTTGCCTGCCAAACACAGACTTATGTATTTGGAAAAATAATTAAAAATAATCATATATGTAATTAGAAATAATAAAATAATTAGAAATAATCAAATAATTAAAAATATTCAAACAATTAAAAATAATCAAATAATTGAAAAAAAATATTTGATTAAATTTGATTATTTTTAATTATTTGATTGTTTCTGAATATTTTTGATCATGGCAATTAACCATGGTTAGTTTTGATTTTTCTTAATTATTATTGATTAATGATTGCTGGGTTATGTAAGAAAATTAAAATAATCATTAAAATTAAAAAATGCAAAAATTAATGATTACTAATCGTAATCGAAATTTAACAGCTCTGTTAGGAACTTATTTAAATTGATGCTTGGTTAATGATTATATCTGCCATTTGCCATATTCATTAACTGCTTATTTTTGTATTTATTTGCAAAAAAAAAAAATAAAACCTTAGTTTATAGTAATGTAGATGATGCATAGTTCAATAGCAATGTACATATATACATTTGTATGTATACTAAATAAGAATTATAATTTTATGAAGAAAAAAATATATAAAAAAACGATGGAACTAGAACTACTAAACCCTGCCTACATTGGCTAGTCTATCAATCGTTGTTGTCCAGCAAGAAAAGTGAGATACCACAGGGTAGAACCAACGGCAATTGTCTGAGTGGTCGACATTTGTCAGTAATATTTAGGGACTAAGCCAGCAAACCAAGAAGAATTAAACAGGGGGTACCATAGGGTGGTGACCTAACCCCGCTATTTTTAATTATTACATTTCAAAACTACCTCAATCACCATAGGGAGTCACTATTGTCTCTTTATGCTGACGACTGCCGGATAATGGCATCTGGGAATGGAATTGATGACTTGTGCTCGAAAGTAAACGGTTATCTCGCCGAGCTTTCTCACTTCTTCACTGCAAAGAACCTACAAAATTCTCGGCAACCTTATTCACCACCTCGCTGAAATAGGTCAGACTCCAACTGGGTATTCACGTCTATGGCGAATCAATACCCACAGCGAATAACCCGAGGAACCCCGGAGTAACCTTCGACAGTCTGCTCTCAGAAACGCAACAATGTCCTCAAGTCGCCGGCAACACTTAGAGAAAAGACAAAGAAACGTTGTTGGCAACATACAAGGCAATTGGCCAGCCGGTTCTAAACTATACAGCGCCCGTGTGCTCATCGGGGACCACCACGACGCAGTGGATGAAGCACAGACCTGTAATAACACGGCATTTCGGACAGCGAGCGGTTGCCTTCTGATGTTCCCCAACACTAATCACACGACGAGGTCCAGATGCTCCCCATCAAGGAGCATAACACCATGCTTTGCAGGCAGTTTCTAGTGGGAAGCCATAGACGTGGTCAAGCAAATAGACAACTGCTTGCAGAAGAGCCCTCGCCAAGGCATGTCAGGAGGCACCTCTACGAATTGCCGGATCTTGCTCTGAAGTACGTTAGAGTTAAATTGAAGGAGCTTCATGTGGTTCAGGAGACGTGTTTTTATGCGGGGAGTGAGGGATGTGTGTTGCCTTGGCACGTCAGGAGGCATCTCTACGAACTGACGGACGAAGTCCAGCGGTTCATAAAACAACCTCTGGACCCAACTGCATACCGACAGGCCCATAACGGCATTCACAGAGAGTCGGTCTCGAGTTATGTGAATGCTGTTCTGGGCACACAACCACCCGACGTGGACGGGACATAACTTTGTCTGCCTCGGGAGCCCAACTTCGCTCTGGCTAACCTCAGCAGAATAAACGAAGGTGTGTCCCACCAATGCCCTATGGACAGATCCTATTGAAGTTTCGCACTTCCTGGGCCTTCCCTTAGCTGAAACAGACGACAACGTTGATGGATGAACCGACCCGAGCGGGGCTTGGTAGCCCCTAAAACAACAACAGCTTATAATTGCGGAACTTACTTATCGCTCGTGACATCAAGTCGGTCTGTTGAAGAAGAATCTAAAGCGGGACCGATTTTAGATATGTGAAAGCTTAGCCAGCTACAGTATCCAGACTGTCTCTCGGTGTTGGTCTGTCTTTACAGTGTCGGGTCCATTGGATGTGTAATGTAGGTCTGGATTTCGTCCGTGACTTCCAGCAGGTGTCTGTTCTGTGTGGAGTAAGCAGGAAGCTCTAACGGGGAGCATTAAGAACTCGCTATGAAGTGTGGTGCTCAGGCGACAACAGAAGGCATCCCACTGCTGTCCGGGGTGCGGTATTATGGCAAGCCTGTAATTTCATCCACTGGCTCAGCAGAATATTGAACAGGCCGGCAAATTGCGTCATACTTGTTTATTTCTTTTTGCTACCTTCTTTTGCTTTAAAGTGCTACCGACCAACAATTCGAGGACCTGCTTGCGGATTTGTACTTTAGTAACAGTTGCTGTTGTATATGCGGAGAAGGAAAGCAAGCTGTAACCCTTAGTTTTTATGTCGATATTGGTGTAGGAAAACGGCTCCATCGAGTAGTCGTCAGTATGAGACCGATGAAACTTTCTCTGGCGGCTGAGGGAGATTCGAGATGCAGAAGTTAAACAACAGTAGGTAGAGACTCCACTCTGTGGGCACCCCCTCTTTGATTCCGTGCTAGAGTTTTAATATATTTTTAACCGACTTCCAAAGAAGGAGGAGGTTATCAGTTCGTCGGAATATTTTTTACTTTTTTATGTATGTTACCGCATAACTTTGGGCCACGTAAACCGATTTCGGTAATTCTTTTTGCATACTAATCTGGTTAAGATCCGATCAGTGGATCATGAGATATATATATATATATATATATACATATATATATATATATATATATTTTATATGAGAATTGAAGTCTTTTTTTTTTTGCTAAAACTTACTTGTGTTTTTACTTTTTTCTTCGAAACTTGAGGCAAGTGCATTTGCGGGCTGCTTTTAAAACTAAAACTCTTCTTGGATGTATTAAAAATGCTTGTGCTATATTTATGTGACTTACCTTCTGTGCTTTGCGTAAATTCTCCCGCGACATTTTCACCGATGCCAAAATGTTTTCAATTTCATCTCTCATTCCTTCATTCTATAATGTAGATAAAAAAAGAAAATTATTATCTCATCGGAATAATCAACACATTAACCCAGCCTTCCCCACTGATGCCCACCTCAGTTGCCAATAGAATCCAGCGATGTCCATTATGTTCTGTTTTTGCACATAACCCACAACAAACTGATTGACATGTGCGACAAAAACGATCCTTGACTCGCTTGTGGTGTTTATGACAAGTTGTGGCACGCGGTATTTTTGAATTTTTACTGGCATTTCTTCCATCGTCCAGCGGTACGAATGCATGTCGTTTCAGTGCCTTTCCGTACATATGAATAGAATCATAGCAGATGCGACAATAGTGCACGGTACATTGACGACAAAAGCCCACTGCCGGCTCTAATTCACACTCCGAGCATCTTAAGACAACCGCTTGTAGCAATGCCTGCGCGCCAGAAGCTAGTGTACGATTGGCACTGTTGGAAGGTGATGGCGGACTTTGGCCAGATATCATTAGCGAATTATTTGCCGAACTCTCGCGACGATAGAATCGCAAATGATTCAATTCGCCAATTAAAAAGAAATTCATGTAAAAGAAATCGCGTACATTGAAATTTTCATGTCGCTGCTGGACATGGTGACGTTGATTTTGCTGCAATCCAATACAACTCAGTGATATTGATGGTGGATTGCGTTTGTCGATGATAATTGGATGCTGACAAATGCTACAAACAAGATTCTGATGATTTTGATAAATGCAATTTTCGCACATATTATGTCCACAGGAGAGTAGGAATGGGCGATTGCTTTTGACGTGCAAATCTGTGAAAAAAGGAAGATAATCGTCAGAAAATTTAGGCTCCCATGTATGTCATTAAGGTCTTTGAAAATCAAGTCCTATTCTGATTAGTGACATTTTGACAAAATGGCAAACGCAACGGAAATGGTTGGGACGGAAACAAGTGCTTCTTAAATGTATGCACATGCTATTAATCTAAAAAAAAACATGCTAATAACCGGTTCAAGAATAAGATTTAAATTAAGACCAATCATCTTCCAATGCAATTCATAAGACAATTGTCAATTCTGGCAACTATCTACCTTTGTGCACTCAAAGACGAATGTTAGGCAAAACAATTAATTTTGAAGGCAAATTTTTTTTGTGTTGTACCCTATATGCTCTCGTTTTCATAAAAACTTTTGCTAAAATAATCTGCATAGACATTTCAAAAAAATATTTAGATCTGTGAAGTAAACGTTTCCATGACAAAAATTACAGCTTATTACAGCAGTCATTTATCGAGAGGTTACTACTGAAATAGGGAAAATTAACGCATTTTAAAATATATATGGTTTTCCTCTTTAACATAAACTAATAAATATAAGAAAATTAGACAAAAAATAAATGAAATAAAGCAAAAATATTTTTAACAAGTAAAGAATTATAGGTTCGGGCGAAACCGAATTTTATATACCCGGCGCAGGTGTCAACGATCGTCGTTCCAAATTTCTCAAAACTACCTAAAAGTTTATAACAGTCTTATTTATTGTTGAGAGATAACTTGGAGTAAATGAACGTCCTCGGTTATTGAAAACGTCCTCAGTTATTGAAATATCGGAAAATTACCGTTATACGGTATGCCGATGCAATTTCAGTTCGATTTGAATAATTTTCAGCGAATTAATTTCTAATGCACCTAGTTTCCAAAAATTTCATATTATTTTGTACCAAAACTCTACTTCACATAATAAATTTCAACAATTTGTATCAAAATTTACAGAAATATCATAGTTTTTGCATTTTTCGAAAATACCGTTATATGAGAAGGGGGCGGGGTTACAGTCCGATTTCAACAATTTTCAATAGCAACCTACCTTGGATAAAGGGAGACCTATATAACAAATTTCGTTAAGATATCTCATTTTTTGCTCGAGTTATCGTGTACACGGACAGACGGACGGACGGACGGACGGAGGAAAGACAGACATGGCTTAATCGACTTCTCTTTTCATTCTGATCATTTATGTATACATTTGTCTATATCTATCTCGATTTTCTTTAATCTGTTACAAACAGCCGTTATGCGAACAAAGTTATAATACCCTTGCGCATACATGAAATAAATGTTTTTAAATAAAAATTAAAAGAAAATTAAATTAAAAAAGACAAAATAGAACAAAATCTAAAAATTAAAAGAAAATTTACTTATAAAGAGCCAAAATTAAAATAAGACTAAAAAATAAATTAAATAAAAAAATATATATTTCAATTCAAAACAACAAAACATATATATTGAAGGAAAATTAAATATAGACGATTTAAAAACAACAAAAACAGATTGTTTTATTTCAACCCGGCCTTGAGCTCAAAAAAATTAACAGGATCTTCAATTAACGGTCAAATATAAAGAAACAATAAAATTAACAAAAGAAAAGGTAATTAATATTGAAATAATAAAGAATAACTAATACGTTTCTAAAAATTAAATTAAATAAAAATGTGTTATTTTTTTAAAAAATAAAATATAAAAATTAAATTAAAAGTATATTAAAAAAAGAAGAAATTAATTAAAGAAAGAAAAAATAAAACAAGTTCCTAAAATTTGTTTTTCGCTTTGATTGGCCTGATAATAAATCATATTCAACAGCTCTATTGAGGCTTGAGACCAGTTTTAATAAAAATTATTGTGGAAAATCAACAATAGTTTTTAAATGGTAGAAGTTATAGCCGATATTTCGGAGATCGCCGCATCTCCGCATCAGACTATTTCACCGCGGACACAAGAATATTAACCACAATCTACCTACAACAACAACAACAACCTGTATATCGGAATTTTCGTTACTAATCAATCTTGTTATGCATACAGTTTTCGATATATTTATCGCTATTGTATCGATATAATAACCGGCATTGTTATCGATATAATTATCGGCCTTTTTATCGATATAATAAACGATATTGTTATAGATCATCGTTTAAAGTACAAAACCGCGTATCGTCTTCTGCAAAACTGCGTAACTGACATTGCACTTTAAACGACGAGATATATTTATCAACATATTTATCGATACTGTTATCACTATTGANAAAAGTGATAACTCGGTGCTTATATCGGGTATGGTTCGGTTATTTGTACAATGATTTGTATTGATTTTGTATTGACATATCGTCACCCTTATGCCAGAAGCATGAATGTGCAAATTTATCAGTTTTGAATTATTTGGTTGATTTGATTAACGTCACACGGAAACCAGATATTTTACAATTTGAAACATGATAAATAATTTGCTAATTTGTATTTGGTATGATAATTTGTATCATGATTTGAATTGCATAATTGTAGTTGTCTGGTAAAAAAAAAATTTCAAACTTAAGTTCCCAAAATATCCATTTTTACACATTAATGTGTTTGGAATACGGGCGGCGATATGTATAAGTGTAGTCAAAGGCTTAAAATTTTATGTTTTTAGGGGGCTCGCTGAGTAGCCTTGCAGTTGGAGACGAAAGGGGAGCGTGTCATTGAATTCTTTGTTCTTTGCTTTTTCAAACTGAAAAGGTGGGCGGTGCCACGCTTTCTTCATTTTTTGGTACATGCCTCGAATCTATTCGGAACATTTCCATTTACTCCGTCTAATGGTTGGGGTTTTAGGTGCGGCACCCTCCTACTTAGCAAGGCCGAAGGCCCCCTCTGCACAAAGAAGTTCTATTCAAAAATACTGTGGTCAGCATAGCCGGAGTTGGGCTAATAAGAGGTACTTTTTCTAAACGCAGCATAATGACGCAATGCAATATTCAAATAGGCAAGCCGAGGGTCTGCCAAGGGGAGATTGGGGAAGGATCACTTTTCTTAAAGCTTGGCCTGTGCTCTTTTAATTGGTAGTGTTACGTGCCACACCCCATTCCCTTCCGCTACTCATCTCAAAATCTTTGTACAAATAACCGAACATTTCGGGACAAATAACCAAATATTTTCCCTTCTATGCTTTATGTACTGTATTTATATCTTGAGTATTTGTGTGGGTGCTCAGAACCGGGAAATACTGTACATAACAAAATGAATGCGGCTTCTTTTTTGATGCACTTGCAACGCAACACTTCCCAGTTATCAAATAATATATATGTATAATAATAAATACCGTCTCGGGGAGCATCCCACCAAAACTTACCGCCCATACGGAGATCATAGTTGGTTGAATATTCGCTGCGACATTTGGGACAGCAATGTGTATTCCGTAATGCAGTAGCCACGAATTTCCGATCAAACAATTTTGCCGGCTGACTTGAGATATGAATTTTTTCGCAAGCACTTGTATTTACAATCGGCGGGCCCAATCTTTCCCGAGCATTGATCTTTTTCGATTCATTTCGAATCGTAAACATTTTCTCTGCACTAAATCGAACTTTACTGAGGTCTAATTTGAGAAATTTTCCAATTTCAGCACTCCAAAACAAACGGTAAAAATTAAATGGCGTGCAAATGCACATATGATTGTAAATGCGAATGAGTGACGAAAACAAAAGACCGATGTTTGCTAGGAATGAAATGGCAAATGGAACAATTGTAGCTAACTGCATGGTTGCAATCATGTATGGGAAATATTTATGTTATGCAAAGTGGGACAAATTAATTGTTTCGAACTAAAATTAAAAAATGTATAAAATTTATTCTTTGCCTAGGTTTACCAGGCAAGTATAAGGAGCCTTTTTATGAAATTCGGTGAGATTTTGTTGCAGGCTATCTTTAAGGTGCCAAATACACCACACAAACGGTTTGTCAAACAAGTCGAAATTTCCATTCAGCTCAAACCTGTTGTACGGTGTATTGTGGCGCTAGATGGTTGGACAAACCGCTTGAAGATTTGAACAAAAATCCAACTTTATTTTTTTCTGGCCGGCATGCTGAAGTTTGTTCAAACAGCTTGCGTAGTGTATGGTAAAAACGCATCATTCGCAATTCGAGTGAGGACGTTATGAGCGAAATACACCACACAAGCAGTTTGGCAAACCTACACTTTTTTCAATTCGCCATACACCGAACATGGCTCGTTCAAGCCGAGAATTTTAGCTTGGTCGAGTTATGCTTGTATGGTGTATGGCGAAATAAAAACATTTGGTTTGAAGCAGTTTTGTCAAACTATTATGTGGTGTATTGGCGCTTTAAGAGAAAAAGTGAAGAAAACCAAATTTTTTACACCTGAACCGGAAGAAAACTAAAACTCTCTGCTCGAACGAGTCATGCTTGTAAATGTCAGACTTTGTTCCCAACCATGATCCAAATACACATTGGCCTATGGTTCCGGACGGCACTGTTCTATACTTTTAGTACGCTGGCCTATTCTAAAGTTAAGTGGCTGTTAGACGTGGCAAGTGCAAGTCCTTTTCAAAAGTCAAGTCTGCCAAACTCAAGAATGTAAAGTGTAACTGCTCCTGCAATCTCTTTTGGAAATTCTTGAGTTTGACAGACTTTTGAAAGAGACTTGCCCTTGCCACGTCTAAAGCTGAAATTAGTTGAGAACGCAGAACGTATATTTAAACGCAGTCTGCATACGCAGAATTTTGTCGATTACTGGAGCCCTCAGTGTTGCTTACTACACTGTTGCCACTCTTCAATACCTTTTCATAAACTTACCCTTTCAACCACAATTTTTCGTGCTATAATAGATTGTAGCTAAATATAAACTACTTAGTTTTCAACAAAAACCTTATTCAATAGTAAATTTCACATATTTTAAACATATTTTGAATAGGAACTTATAACTTTTTTACCATCTGCAAAACTGACAAGTGGCAACCATCTAAAGAAGGAGAAATCAGCTGACACGGAAAAATCTAAATTCCGCAGATTTCTGCGCTACGGGCTACAACTACAGATTCTGCGGTGTTGTTTTCGAATTACATGGCGCTTTGGTAAGACAGATCGTGTCAGCAGACTCGTGTCAAAGTCGTTTCAGTACGCCACGTTCACATAAGATTTAATAAGGGCGAAAACAGCTGTTCTTGTAAAACCTGCAAATCGTGAAGTACGGGAACAAGCTGTATATTGCTACCCTGCAAAAATCGTTGGACCATGTAGTCTATTTGTGGTATATTGGAGTACTTACAAAAGTGCTCCTCTGTCATGCTGTAGCGGACCAACTCGTGTCTGCACCAGCTTATTGTTACCCGATCACTGCTCGTGTTTTAACGACATGTGATTGAAGTTAAGCATTTGAAAGTACATTTGCATGTCTGGCTGTAGCTGAGCGTGTAGAGATGCTAGCTGTTAGTTCTTAGCTCCCAGCATGTTCGGGTTCGAATGTCGTCAGAGGCAACATGTAATTTTAAATTTTTGTTTCTGGTTTTTATTAATTTCAAAAAAAGCATATGCGAAGTGAAGAACAAAAGCGTGTACAAACGAAAAAATATAACGATAATGTCATTGGAGTATGTTGGGAGTAGTTTTGTGCTACTCTGATGTAATGCAGAGATGGAGTACATGGTCCTGCCCTAGGACATCGCAATGTTAATTGGACCATATTTTTTATATGAATTGTGGTTAATTTTGGAGTACTCCTTGGACCTTCGGGAGTACTCTTTACATGCATGCATGGAGTAGTCGCGATTTTTGCAGGGTATATATGTACTATGCATGATAAAAACATATACACATCTGTGTTCGTTGGGAAAAGTAATAGCTTATGTCGAAGGCTGGCTTTAGTATAAATCGGCATTCGCAGCATACGATTCCGAATG